CAAATATGTTCTCAACAACGATTTATATGTTATATTTTATTTTGTTCTATTTCAATAGTATTTTACTAATTCTTTTATTCGAATATTATATTTGACTATGATGATGATATATTATAATGTAAAAATTTAACATAACATTACTCATATGTAGGTTGTGTATTAACACCATATTCAATTCCAAAATATTGTATATTTGGAATATCTCTAACATAGTTTGTATTCATTTGAGACAAATTATTCAATTTCTTTAATATATCATCTGTAAATATACAATTATCTGTTAATGATAACCATGTATTTACATCAAATAATAATTGACAACAACTATCATCATACCAGAAATTATATTTAATTGTACCAATTAATTGTTTTTCAAATAAATATCCACCTTCTAATGATTCGATTCGATGAGGTATACCACAAAAAAAATCATTTGAATAAGATGTTAGAAATAGATAAAAAAATTCATGTATCAAATTTACAAGTAATCTTGTATTCCTTATTTTCGTTGACCATGTTGGTTCAGCTAATTCTTGTTTATTTTGATAAATCATATAATTTAATCCATAGAAACCAAATATAGGTAATTTAATGTTATATACATTTAATTTATTTTCAATAATATTTATTTCTTCAATTAATGAATCTTCATTGATATCCATATTATATTTATCATTACATATTGTTAATAATGATGATAAAAAACGTTTTGATTTTATAATAGTATTTTTAAAAAATTCTACATGAAAATCATAGTTCATATTAATAATATAAATATGATTATTATTTTTACATTTATTCATATTATCAAAAACAACATCAAATAAATCGATATATGATCGAACACGATGTTTCAGTATAATATTTTCTATTTGTTCATTATCAACAAATAAACGTGAATAATGAAATAAATATAATAGTTTTGTTAAATTTATATTTTTCTCACATAAAACTTCATGATCATTTTTATATTTTAAAACACATATTTTTAAAGTATTCATGAATAGATGAACGATTTCTTCGATGATTTTTATGTCATTACTCATATGAATTCGATGGTAATAGAACGTTAAAATTTTTCCTATTATCCATTGTAGTAGATGATCAATATTTTGTGATGATAGTTCTTTATATGGTAAAAATATTTGGTTATTTAATAAAATTAAATTTGATCGTGGCCATTGTAATTCAATAGATTTTGTTTCATCATATGTTGTAATTTTTGAAATAATATTTTCATCATTGTAAATATATTTTAATAAAGTATCAAAATTCATGTGGCTTTGTTTATATCTGAAATAAGAAAAAAACAGCAGATTTATTTATTTAGATCATGTAGTAATGATTATATTCTATAAATATAATTCATGATTTGAGTGAGAATGACTGAAAGTAAACTATTGAAAATCTATTTTATTTTTGATTAGAATTGATTAATGCAGAATGACGAGAACAGCAGTGTTTAGAATTTTAACCGCTATTCATGGGTACTATGCTCACGAATTAAACAGCAGCAAGACTGTTATGAAAAATGCTCTTA